TGAGAGAAAAGAGAATGAATGGTACCCAGAGGCTATAGGCTATGAGTCACCTGCCTAATTTCAGCCTTCCACTAACCCTTAGCTCTGTACAGCTGTCCTGATGCCAGGAGAGCAATAGTGACTTAGAGGAAAGTGTGCCCTGCTTTGCTGTCACATACCCATAACTAATGACTGATTGCCATTTTAGGTCCATGTTTGGCTAAACCCTTTTCTTGTTCCTCTCTTCAGTCTGTAAAACCAAATCCATTGAACACCATTTTGGAAACACATACTCTGGGCAACTAGAGTTCATGGTTTTCTTTGATAGCCATCCTTGTTTTGGCTGTGGGCTTCTCACACTCTGTGTGCCTCAGCTTGCCCTTGAAGTCAATTTTAGATTGTCCGGCATGCTGAAATGGCTTTGGTATTAGTTTCCCCAGTGGTGAAGTGTGCTAGTCAGCTTCGGTTTACTGTAACAAACTATCTGAGTCTGTTCTCTTAAGAAGAGAAGTGTTTATTTTGTCTCACAGTTCAGCAGCCACCTGGCCCAATGGCTTTGGCCTGTGGTGACACACCATAGTAAGAGTTTATGGTGGAGGAAAACTGCTCATATTTGTGGCAGGGAAACAGAAGTGAGCATGGGGGAGGGGTACTCCTGTAATCCCCCTCCCCCGTTGTCCTAAAGACCTCTCACTATGTCTTAAAAGTCCCACTACCTTCAACGTCAGCACGTAAGCTTTTGTGGGACATTGAAGACTCAAACTAAGGTAGAGAAGGATCAGTTGAAACTGCTGGGTGGACTTTGCATGTCCATAAACGAAGATCATTTGTTTCATAAACTAAGTTACTTGTCTTGTAGCAACTTAAGAGAGAAAGTGTTTATTGGGGCTCGAAGTCTGTGAGTGCAGTCCATCATGGTGGGGAGGACAAGGTGGCAGGAGCTGAGGACAGCTGGTCACATGGCAACCACAGCCCAGAACAGGGAGAAATGAACCCTGCTGCTCAGCCTGCTCTCCTCAGCCTGGGCTCCAGCCCATCAGGTGCTGCCCACATTTAGGATGAGTCTTTCCACCTCAGTTAATCTAGTTAATGCCTCCCAGCCAGGTCCAGAGGTCTGTCTCCATGGTGACTCTAAACTCTATCAACATTAACTGTTGTATATTACAATCAGGTTTGGCAGTTCTCATCTTCAGCTTTGAGTTCATACAGTTGTTGCCTTTGGGACTATATTTACTTTGTCATACAACATTTCTCCATCCGTCAACAGTATTCATTTTTTTTAAAATTCATCTCTAACATTTACAGATACCAATATCTGTCATGTTCTTAGGAGTTCCCTTGGTTAGTGGGAGGAGTCATACTGGATATATTTCAAGTCTCTAACTTATGTGGGCAAATAAGCAGTGTGCTGTGACCTCTGCAGCCAGATAAGTGGTGGTGTGCTGGCTCTCTGTGTAAGTTGCTCTTGGTCATGACACATTTGACTTTTGGAGCAATTAACAAACTATTCCCTAAATTTTCCTTCCCTCCAGCTGTGTCTGAGTCTCCAACTTCTTCATATTCCCATCAAGCCTGTTGTTTTCTATTGTGCTGGTTCTTAAACAGCCAATATAATGGGCATGATCTATCATCTCAATGGGGTCTTAGTGGTTTCCCTGGTTACTGGGGATATGTAACATCTTTCTGTTTGCTTGATGACCATTTGCTTTTCTTTGGAGCCCTGTCTCTTCGAGATGCTTGCTTACTTTTTAAATTGAGGTTTTGATCTTTTTTGAATACTTCTTTTTTTTCCCAACTTTTTTTATTTGAATTAGAAACAGGATTGTTTTACATGACAATCCCAGTTCCCTTCTCCCACCTGTCCTCCCCTACCCCCCCCAACAAAATCAGCTGTCACATATCTTTTCTGCTCCCCCCTGGATGGTGAGGCCTTCCATAAGGTGTCATCAGAGTCTTTCATATCCTATGGGATAGGGCCTAGGCCCACCACCGTGTGTCTTGGCTCGGGGAGTATTCCTCTATATGGAATGGGCTCCCAAAGTCCACACCTATGCTAGGGATAAATACTGGGCTTCTACAGGAGGTCCCATAGATTTCTGAAGTTTCCTCACAGAAACCCATGTTCCTGGGGTCTGGATCAGTCCCATGCTGGTATTCCAGCTATCAGACTGGGGAGCAAGAGTTCCCAGATGTTCAGGTCAGCTGTTTCTGTGTGTTTCACCAGCCTGGTCTGGACCTCTGTGCTCTTCACTGGTCCTTCTCTGCATCTGGGTTCCAGTTTAGATTGGTGATTAGTTATGGGTGCCTGCTTCTACTTCCACCAGCTGCTGGATGAAGGCATATAATACTTCTTTTTTATCTGTGTGTACACTTTGTCTGCATGTATTTCTGTGTAACACATGTGTGTTTGGGGCCTAGAAGGTCAGAAGAGGCCATTAGGTCTCCCGGAATGGGATATACAGCTAGTCGTAAACTGCCATATAGGTGCTGGGAAGAAACATGGTTCTTTGGAAGAGCAGCCAGTGCTCCTAACCAAGGAGTCATCTCTCCAGCATTTGATTTTTTTTTTTTAATTGAGTTGTAGGGGACGCCAGATGTTGACATTAGGTGTCTCCTTGCTCCCTCTCCACCTTATATACTTAGTAAAGGTCTTTCTTTTGTACCCATCGTTCAGGATTTAGCTAATCTAGCTAGTCGACTTGCTCTGATCATATCTGTGGCTTCTGAATAAGGGGTTACAGATGCCTGTGCGGTATTTGCTTTGTTCCTGGAGATCTGACCTCCAGCCTTCACACTTGTACAGCAAGCAGTTTATTCCACTAAGCCTTCTCCCCTACCCTTCAACAACAGTTTTCATTTTCAGTAGACAATATTGTGCCTTCTCTATTGAATTTATTTGGCTTTTTTTTTCATACTGTTGTCAGTGGAATTGTTTCCCTAATACACTTTTCTGATTGTTCATTACTAATTTGTAGAAGAATAACTGGTTTTGTGTGTTGATCTTATTTCTTGAAGCCTTGTTGAATTTACTTAGTTCTTGTGGTGGTTACTTTTTATTAAAAAGCCAGAAAAACAACCCATGTAAAATCCGATCTGTGGGTAGAAGTAGTTTTACTACTTGCTTTCCAGTTTTGGTCTCTTTTATTTCTTTTTCTTTCCTAATTGTCTGGCCAGTGCAGTGGTTTAGTTTTTGACCAAATTAAATTGAAAATCCTTGCTAGACCTCCAAGTAGAACCGTGATGCCAGCAGAGCACTGGAGTCTAGAGATTAGAGACTACATACATAGGAAGCTGGGAATCGCTGGCCATGTACTGACATGGCTGGTATTTAAACCCATATGGCTACTCTAGAGAACAAGCTTGTGAAGGAAGAAAAGCTGTGGTGGGCAGGGGACGAGGGACAGGGACGAGGTGGTTGAGGAAAGGGGGTGCCTGGCCTCTAATTGCCAATCTCCCTCCCTGCAGCTGTGGCCCCGTGGACTGTCTGACCCCCACCCTATCAGAGATGTCACTAAAGGACAGTCTTGGCTCAGACAAAATAATGTTGGATGACTGGAGTTTTCCACACCCAGGCCCTATGTGTCCAGAACTAGAAAGCTGTGTTGTTGTTATTCCACACTGGTTATCAGAAGTACAGAACAAGAAACTGTAATGTTCCGGAAGGATAGCTAAAAGGACAGGGAAGTAGTAGTCTATTAGCTTAACTGTCATCCTCAGAGCTCTTCCTCTGGATATCTTTTAGATCCATATACCCTCTGCATCCTTCAGTCTCCATCTTCCCTAAGTGTACAGTGCCGAGGCCCCTTCCCAGAGTATCAGTGCCAGAGGCCTTTTGTATTTCCCTCCTCACTGTGCCTTCTCCGTTCAAGAACAAGTGAGGCACCTCCCTTCAATTGCAAAGGTGTGTGTGTGTGTGTGTGTGTGTGTGTGTGTGTGTGTGTGTGGTGACTTCACACAATCCCATGGAATATACACTGGCTGAAAGACAGCAAATTCTAGGGAAAAAAAAAAAACCTAGGGTACTCATGTATCTAAGCTTATTTCCATGGCATTTGCATTTTCTGTAGTGTACACACTGTTGTCATCCTGAGGAGCATCTTAAGGAAGGCCCACAGTTTGAAGACACAGTCCATTGTGGCCGGGAAAGCAGGAACTTGAGGCAGCTCACTGCATCTGCATGCAGAAAGCAGAGACAGTGAATTCTGGTGCTTAGCTGACTTTCTTCTCTTTATTCTGTCTGAGACCCCAGTCAATGGAACAGTATCCACTCACCTTTAAGGTGGGTCTCTGTCTCTGTTAGCTTAAGTTAGGTACTTCCCCACAGACATGTCCAGAACTGACCAACAAGATTACACTAAGTTAAAATGTCTAAAATACCTTGTTGGACAGGATCTGGTAGTACCCAAAGCAGGAGGATTGGGAGTTCCAAGTCAGCCTTGGTTACATAGCACACTGAAGTTCTGTATAGTGAGACCCTGTCTCAACAGCTACCACCAACAATTAATAGGTGCAGTTTTCTTCACAGCAGACGATCGCCGAAGGTGTGAGGTTTGCTGGGCCCTCCTGACTATAAACAGTATTATACAGAAGTGTGTTTGAAATGAGAACATAGTAGCTCATAACTTTCAGAAGAGTGGGCCAGCCTTTAAAGCACCTTTCTCACTCCTTCCTAACTTTAAAGTTTGCGCTTTGACTCATCTGGAGGTCCTCTGTGGGCCTTCATGCTCTTCTCCATCATGTCTGGATTTTTCATTTTGTTTTTGTTTGGTTTGGTTTTTTTAGATTGGTTTTAGCATAGTATCTAAATTTCCATCTCCCGATGTTTTTTTCCAAGAATATAAAGTTCTTTTATGTGTGTGTGTGTGTGTGTGTGTGTGTGTGTGTGTGTGTGTGTGTGTGCGTGCTTAAATGTTTGTGTTTAAGTGATATAACTGTTTGAAAAACTTATTAAACTTTATTTCTGTGGGAAAATTTTCATATATTTTTGACTGGCTTTTTTTTTTTTTTTTTTAAATCTTCAGCCAATGAGAACATTAGTCATGACAAGCATGCCATCTGAGTAAGTACTTGTTGTTTTGATAACTTTCTATTCATTGTAAAATTTAGCCTTCTCTTGTATATACTGTAGGTTTTTGTGCCTTCAGGACATTCGCAGAGCTGGACTAGATCACTTTTACTCAGCGTAACTAGTATGGGGTTAGAAGATCATTGGAAATTGAAAATGTAGTTAAATGTGGGCTATTGAGTGCAAAAAGCTTTTTGGGTCCTTTGCATAGCATTAAGAGATTTTATTTATTTATTTCTGTCCTCTGTGCTTGCTTAATTCCTAATGGTTTTATTTGTTCACCCCTCACCCCATGAATGTTCAATAAACTGAGCAGTACAGGTCGAAACATTTCCTTATATATCTTGAAGAAACACCATGTGATCTAAGGGAGATATCCCTGTATCTCGTGGAAGGGTTAATGGCTTGCTGGCTTGCTCTTATCATCTCCCTTAAACATTTAGCACAATAAAGAACATCCAACAAAAATATATAATACTATATTCCTTGTAACGGATTTTCAAATTTGTGCTTAAAGAGGAAAACCACATTTTTTTTGTATCAATCATGGGTCTTGAGGTTTTAAGACATTCATCAAAACATTGGGCCGTTTCAGTGAAAACATGCTGCGGGAAGCATGTGCCATAGACTACTTTTTGTGGTGGACTCCTTTTCCTGTCCATGGTGTGCAAACAAAAGCACTGATGTTTTAAACACTGTATGCCATGTATCACAGAAGAGGAGCCCTCTTGTTTTTATTAATACCTTTGATGTGTCATGAACACTTTAGTCTGCTCTAGAAATACTGAATATGAATGTAATAAAGTCCTTGGGATTCTGTAAGTTAAAAAAATGATAGCCTGTTATTTTTCTCATTAAAAGATTTAAAAAGAAAAATTTTCATTTTGGCTGCTCCATCCCCTGATCCCTTCTCATCTTACACTTCTTGCATATCTTAAGGAGACCTTGGACAGACTGATTCCATGTTGATTAACAAGGCCATAAAAAGGCAGTTGTTCCCAATTAGCACATCCATGAGCTGCTGGTAGCTGCCAGGCTTGGAACAGAAGAGATCAGATATTCCGAAGTGAAGTTCTAAACTTAATCCCCTCTGAGATGCTAACAAGCATAGTGTCTCCAGGTTGGTTGGGGAGAGGCCATCTCCACTCTGTGGAGCCCTAAGATTAGAGTTGAGCAAGGTCAGCCATTCTCACAGGGAGAGACTGAGCTCTTGAGAGGCTCTATCCCTGAGATAAGACTCAGGCGTCAAAAGCATGGGGCACAGCAGGCCACCCATTGTGATACCATTGTCATGTCTCCACTGACATGACATGTCCAGAAGGCCCTGCTCACAGCTTGTGATTCACTGGAGATTTTCACACAAAGCTGGGCAGGGTATTAGCAAGCACACTGTAAAAGAAAGAAGCAGGCAGATTAGAACTGAGGGCCTGAGTAAGGATTCTAGAGGAACATCTTGAAAAACAAAAGAGAAAGGCATGCCAGCCATTAAGAGAATGACAGGGAATTAAAGAGATAATTAGAGTCCATTTCTTCTCTTTTAATGGGAAAAACTTGTGTTTGACACTCCAATAATGTTACATTTTCAAAGTAAAATAAGCAAATAATAATCCGGGTCCTGGGCTAGTTGGATGCTTGTGAGAAAAGCTCTACTGCCAAACCTGATGACCTGAGTTCATTGTGAGAACCCTCATGGAAGAAGGAAAGAACCTACCCCCACTAGTTGCCCTCTGACCTCCACACACATCACGCCTCACATGCACACACATACATATTTTAGAAGAGCATGTACACATTGGTTCAAAAATGCATGAAAGTGCATGATCTGGTGTTCCAGTAGACTGGTGTCAAGAGTCTGACTTCCAATGCTGATGCTGTCCCTATGCCTGTGTGACCCTGGAGACACAATAGATAGCTTCCAGGGCTTGGAATTGAGATCTGAAAAGTTCTTGTTTCCCCAAATCCCATGTTCCTGTTTGTAAAGAAACCAAGGTTTGAGTGCTGTGACTAAAATGAAGCCAGACTCTGAGCCTATGACGGCTGACTGTTAACTCTCTGGTCCACAGGAAGCAGAGCCTCATCATCCAAGTGGTGAACACACTGAAAGGCTTTTCATTCACACCTGAGGTCTGCGAGTCCACCACCCATGTGCTGGTGGGGAAGTCTGTCCGCACCCTAAATGTGCTGATGGGGATCGCTCGAGGATGCTGGATTCTTTCTTACGAATGGGTAAGCCTTGTGCTCATCGTTCATTTTAAAATGAGGTGTTTGCTAGATCTGTTTCATCTGAGGTGATGGCATGAGCAGCTAGCTGTGCCTACACTTACATGCACTGAAGTGACTCTGAGAGCCAGCAAGTGATTCTCACACTGAGAACCACTCAGAGAGTGTGGTGAGGCGAAGGCTAGTGGAGGATGGCGGCCTTTAGAATAAACTCCCAGCCTCCGGTGGAAAGAAGATCAGAACAGGCTTGAGCTAAAAACACAAACTGGGTTTTCTCACATGCCAGGGAGTATTGCTGTGTGTTTAACTGAAGAGTGATATGAACTATGTTCTTGATGGCTCAGAAGCCAAAAAGAAAAAAGAAAAAAAGAGAAAAAAAAAGCTCCAGAGATTGTTTGCACAGATGGATTTGCTTAGGATGAAACATGTTCGGCTAATCCCATTGGATATGTTGCACCAAGCACACATGCATCGTTAACATTATTTTCTGTGCATTTAAGGCCATCTTTAAACATGTATCGTTTTCATAGTTGATAAAAATTGTGATAGTCTGCCAGTCAGTATGGTTTTCCTTTGATCCTCCGCCTAGGGGTCATGTCAAAGGCCATCAGCTCATTGCCAATGGGAGCAGCCGCCTTGGCTACTTGTGTTATGTTGACTCTCGTGCTCTTTTCTCCTCACCCAAGAATGTACTACATTAATATTGGGTTAATTTAATCCTGTAGGATTATACTGTGAAAACAAGCTGCAGATGTACTTTTAAGACACTTTTTCCCATGTCATAACCCACAGCTTTCTGTGACAAAAGACTTAAGAGGGGTCAGGGAGAGTTACAATTGCTAAAGTACTTGCTGCTGCACATGAAGACCTGGGTTCAAATCCAGGGCCTACCTGAAAAGCCTGGTATGCTGCATGAATTTGTAATCCTTCCTGTCACTGGGGAGGTGGCTGCTGCAGATCTCTGGGCCAAGCTGGCCGAATGGGCAGGTCCCAATAAGGAATGCAGTCTTGGGAAACAAGTTGGGACGCTTCTGAGGAATGACACACAGATGTGCACATACAGGAAAACACACAAAAAAAATCATGGTGGGCAAAACTTTAAAAGTATTCTGTTTTGTCTTGAGTTTTTGTTGTTTTTGTTGCTGTTGTTTGTTTGTTTTGAGACAGGTTTCCATGTGTATTCTTGGCTGTCCTGGAATTCGCTCTGTAGACCAGGCTGTCCTCGAATTCACAGAGATCCACCTGCCTCTGCTAAAATTAAAGGTGTGTGCCACCACTGCCTGGCTCCAGAAGTGTATTCTTTACAAACGTAGGTATCCATACTTGATTCTGTGCCAGTCTATTCTTATGGGAGTTACGCAGCTAGGATAAACCAAATGAGAGACTGGGATACTCACGGTCAACTTGCAGAAAGACTTGTATGTGAGGGAGCACAGTAAAGGAACTGCTGACATCCCCACTCCATGGTATAGTTAAGGTTTTTATTGTGGATAAGAGAGAACATCCAGAGGCACCTGGAAGAGTCTAGAGTAGAGAGAAAACAAAGCCAACTGGACATGGCAAGGGCTACGCATCTGGGAGAGAAGGGAGAATAGCAAATGATTGAGAGACTAGAGCATAGTGAGGGAGCAGGAGAGCAACCGTGCAAGTGTGGAATGGTGAGAATGGGATGTGGTTATTATGAGGAAGGTGAGTACTGGAGCAGGAAGGAGACTGGGGTGGGGGCTTTGAAATGTTTAATGCATGCTTGCAAATGGGGACTGATGGAGCCTGGAGGCTAGCATGGGCTTTGACATGCAGCCCAGTTACATGTTGATGGACAGCCATATGTCCCGTCTGCCACAGGAAAGCAAAAGGACTCCTTTGGTTGATGGGAACCAATTTCACAAGTGAAAAGTGCTTGCTTTTATCTAACTGCCAAAAATCCTCCTACATTCTAGGTTGAGCTAGGCCTAAACTCAATTTGGACTGAGTCAGGGACCTGCCCATTTTGGAGGATAGGAGCCAGGGTGGGGACCGGGTACCCTTTGGACTGCACAATACTAGAACCCTCACACTACTGCTCAGTGTCTGCCAGTTCTTCACTAATCACATATGACCCCCTCAACTTTACTCTTTCTTCTTCTTGGACCTTCTACCTTTCCATAAATGGAGCAGGAACCCCATTCTCCCCCATCCCCAAGCATCATTAGTTTTGCTACCACTGCCACCCGGAGTGGCCGCAATCCCTCTGGAATATATCTCCCCCTAGCAGTCTCTCATCTTCTTCAGCACCCAACTCAAGGCTCATCTCCACCTCCTTGTATCACCTCTCCATCTAGTCCTCCTCCAGAACTAGGTCATTGCAGACAGGCTGCCTTACTTTGCCCCAAGGTTCGTAGAGTCATAACACATGTCAAGGACCACTCACAGTTGCCAGAGGGCAGCTCCTCACTCAGATTTTTCCAGTTACCTCATTATATTCAGATGGGTCATTCAAATCAGGGCTGTTTAAACAAAGCTGACCCACTTATTTAAAAATAACTCTTGGCATTGGCCATGCTGCTTTGCTAGGTAGAGTCCCTCTGTAGCTGCCACAGCAGGTAGGATACATTGGAGCCCATCTCAGGGTGTTCTCACGTGGCTTGCTTGGTTGGTGTTTTCCACTTTCTCTTTTTCCCTGCGCCAAAGCCACACGTTCCCTCTTAACTGCAGAGCCCCTGCGCAGGCTCTCCAGGCCCCTCTGACTAGATCTGGGCCATTCTCACACTTCTCCTGGTCTCTCCTTTTTCTTTTTCATTTCCTTTCTTTCGTCTTTCCTTTCTTTTTTCCTTTTCTATTTTGTTTTTAGATAGGATCTCACTAAGACCCTGGCTGGCCTGGAACTCACTATGTAGACTAGGAGAGCCTGAACTCACAGATCTCCTCCTGCCTCTGCCTCCTGCATGCTGAACTTAAAGATGTGCACACACACCTGACTGTTTCGTTGTTGTTGCTGTTTTTATTTTGTCTTTTTCCTTTGGTTTTTGTTTTCGTTGTTGTTTCAGTATCTTCTTTGACAACTCCTTCATCCTGCCTGAACCCATCTCCAAAAATCTGTAAGTTAGACTATCCATTGCATATTTTCAGTAAGATTTATCAAACTTGCATTCAGTCATTAACTTCATGACATACTGGTATCCATGACTTCCTACAGACTGGAGGACATGTCTATTCTGTTTGTCTCTGTCTCCTGGTCATAGGTGCCTGTGGAGTAGATCAGAGGAAAGAACACCACCTCAGACACAGAATCTTTAGTTAAGAGTGCGATTCTGATAAGGAATGTCACCTCTCCAGGATAGCTCCTTCACCTATTAATTTACTTATATTAATATTTGTGCAGATTTTCACTCCATGAAACTGTGACTTATGTGTTTTCTATCTCAGCCATCCTTCTAAGAGAAAGATCTTGACTGTGCTACTTTAACTCTGTCCCAGTCACTGTTCTATTGTCATGAAGAGACACCATGACCAAGGCAACTCCTATAAAAGAAAGCATTTAATTGGGGTTTTGCTTACAGGTTTAGAGGGTTAGTCCATGATCATCATGGCAGGAAGCAGACAGGCATGGCCCTGGAGCAGTAGCTGAGGGCTTATATTCTGACCCACAAACACAAAGCATGGGAATGGCATGGGCTTCACCCTCAGTGAAAACACCTGCTCAAACAAGGCCACACCTTCTAATCCTTCCCAAACAGTTCCACTAACAAGTAGTCACACATAGGAGCCTTCCGGGTGGGGGTGGAGTGCTTTCTTATTCAAACCACCACAGTGACTATCCACTGTCACTATCATTTTATGCAAAAACAGTATCTTTCAGCTGTCATAATCTTTGAGAGGGCGATGTGGATCAGGGCGCTCAGCAGCCATTTACCCTCAGTTATAAGTTTCTTCTATCAGCCACTGCCTTTTCTGTGCAGGGAAGACAGCAGTCAGTCTTAAGCATAAATATTTAGATGGTGATTTGGCTACACCCAGCTTAATGTGGGTCACTAGGGCCTCACTAATGTTCCTCACTAGGGCCTGTGATTTCCCAGCCATAGATTTTTGCCCTGGTTCACAAAATCAGATTCGTATTTCTTCCCATGGAGGAGACCTCATATCTAATCCAATAGTATAACTTTCTTTCCAGCCTTTGAGTACTGTATCACCGCAGGCAATCCCTTTCAGACCTTGAGAACACTGTTTTGTAGGCTTGAATCTTATGCAAAATGAAAACCATTGCAGCAATAGCTAACATAGCACTATGTGGGAATTGTGAGTGTTCCCCACATAAAGCAGACATCTGTTCACGTAACTCTGCACAGCTGTGTCAGCTGCCGGGATCTCCCTTCTCCATCATGACATGTGTATCGATGCTGCTAGGGTTTTACCCTTTAAGAGTCAGTCTAGAAATTAACCAGACCTTTTCCCCTATTTACCCCTATTTTCAACAAGGCAGAGGTTATCACTTCTTCTTGCACAGCCTTCCTTCTTGCATCTATATTATTTCATTGTTTCACTTTGCTTATGTTTGTGTGTTCATGTATATGACTGCACATGTGGGCACAGGAGCATTCATATATGGTGCATATGTGAGGTCAACCTCAGGTGTTGTTCCCCAGGTACCTTCTAGCTTCTCTTTGAGACAGAGTCTCTCATTGGCCTGGAGCCTTGCCAAGTTGCCCTGACTCTGTGGCCCATGAACTTCCAGAGATCTGCCTATCTCTGTCTCCTGGCTCACAGTGGCTGGGATTACAGGTGTGCACCACCACTGTACCTAGCTTTTTTTCCTGGCTTCTGGGGATCTAAATTCAGGTCCTTGCCCTTGCAAGGTACATGCTTTACTGACAGAACCATCTCCCTAGATTTCCTCCTTGAATTTTGAAAAGAAAGTCAATACCAACATAATGTATTTGTTTGAGAGGAATGTTTGTTGCAACCATTAGGGTGATCAGTCACCAAAATTTCTAGTTTAACATCCAACTTAATTTGCATCTGCTGACAGC